AAGAGACTACACCCAATTCAGAAAAGAGTTACTAGCAATTATCCACTGTCTAAGGTGCTTCAGATACTATGTACTTGGAAGTAAATTAATCTTGAGGACTGATGCGTCTGTTGTGATTGGTGTTATTAAGAAGAATCAACAAGTAGATCCAACAGTAAGCAAGTGAATTGTCTTCATTTGAACTTTTGATTTTAAAATGAAAAAGATTCTCACTGAGAAAAATCGATGAAGATGAAGATATCGATGGGTCAATTGAAAAATCTGCCTATGTTGATAACTTCCTAAATCAAGAGGATCATGAAGATTATAAGCCTCCGAGTTTCTATAAGTGAAGCTTATGGCCTGAAGAAAAAGACAACTGGGGAGAAATCCCTGATGCTTATGTTTATGAATTAATTTTTGAAAATGAAGAAGAAGAACAACAAAACGATTGGTATGCTAAAGTTAATGTAGCAGTTGTGGTTGCTCATGAACTAGGAGAGAGTTCCGGTTCAAAGAATAAAAAAGAGGTTGAGAAAAAGGAGGAAGGGATATCATTCATCTTTTAATAATATGATGGAAATTATAAGGAGATTGGAAAGAAGATGGAAAAAAAACGGCTAAAAAAATATTACTGTAAAAGCTCAAGGAAGAAGTTCAAATTAAAGAGAGGTCACCTCTTCGTGGATGGCAAGGGAGGACTACCTCCATTAAGGGTGGTCTGTGAAAAAGAAAGACAACTGAAAATAATTGTTGCTCTACACGAGGGGGTTGCTGGTGGTCGTAGAGATGCTGAAATGACCTACTCTAAGACAATCAAACTCTACTTCTGGCGATTTACAGATTTTGTAAATCATGTGTGTTATGTCCAAAGAGGCCTACCACGAGGATGATTGAACCTTTATTTCCTACTATCCTGGTAGAGCCAGGGAGTCGAATTCACTTGGATCTCATCACCATGCCACTAGGCAAGGGTGGTATGAGATACATACTGAATATAAGGGATAATTTCTCTGGATATGTTGAGATAAAGGCTCTGAAGAGGAAGACAGCCGAACAAGTAGCTGACTGGATAGAGGAGATCTATCTCAGATATCCCTTAATCAGACAGTTTGTTTCAAACAGAGGATCTAAATTTATAAATGAGATTGTAAGAAGAACTACACTCAGACTGGGTGTCAGAATTCGATTTTTAACTACTTACCATCCTCAAGCAAAAGCGTCAGTCCGGAGAGGTCACATGACTCGAAAAGATTCGTTGGTTAAATGGTGTAAAGGGCACCTTAGTCAGGGTTGTCAGTCGGGGGCCCCCGGGGGCAAAGCCGGGGTAGGGGTTCGACCCCCGGACCCCCGCCGCCGGGGTGCCCCACCCCCGCCCACCACAAAACACCCCCGCCCGCGCCCCGACACCCGCACCCTCGGACCCGGCACCCGCACCCCCAGACCCGACACCTGCACCCCCGCTAACCCGGGCCCCGGACCCCCGCCGCCCGACACCCGCCC